TGTGAAGATAAGTCAAAGGTCCTGCTTGACCATGTCTGGCTTCACTTGGATGCCTGGAGGAAATATTTTCTGAGTTGACCCTCCTCTTTGTAGACTGGACACTTGTTCAAATCCATCTGGTGGGGTCTCCATGGCCTCCCTGAACAAGAGGACAGGTGACTCACCTCAGTTACAGGACATTTTGAGAGATGTTCCATAGCTTCCTGGAACTTAATCGACCTTGGAAGGCAAAGGGCAAAAACTGTCCTTTAAGTCCCTCTGACCAGATTAGTATAGGCCTCAAAGTATGGATGTTAAACATCCAATAAGGTTAGTTTCACCAGTCTGGTATTTTTAATTACCATGTGCTATATAGATAAAGCTTGGGTGAAAAACCAAATGTTCTCAGATAAACCTTGACTAGATGTGTATTTTGTTCCTTAGACTAGTTGACTAAATTATGACTTTAGAAAATTTAAGATTATGTGAATATTATTTTTGTCTCATCCTTTATATATCATAACAAACCTAAACAGACCTTCATCACTTGCTTAGGCTTTCTCATTTTTTCATTTTTGGAAAATATCTCCATTCCCATATCCTTTTACCCTCTTTTACATTCTCATTTTCTTTCTTTTTCTTTTTTTAAATAATTATGAGACATAATAACATTAACAAATAAATTTTCCATCTTTTGTGAGAATTCTTTTCCTGGGGATACTAAGCAATTGCTTATTCATTTTAAGGTTCTAGTATCAAGCCAGTGTTTGATTAAAGTTTTTCTAGGGAACCAATCAATTTACTGAGCTAGCTTACTGAGATAACTAAATATTGCTGAGGTGTATGAGTGACCTGAGGGTATGCAGAGTGGAAAGCCTTTACCCAGCATGGGTCATGCCTTCTCTTCCTAGCCTTCCCCGGGATGTATACTTTAGCCCTCCCCATTACCACAAAATATGGTATCTTAAAACAAACCATATTTCCTAATCTCTCAGACTCTGAGGTTAGGGATGTAGGCATGGCTTAGCTTCCCAGCATTTTTACAAGACTGTGGTGAGGACAGAGTTCAGGCCTGCAGTCTCATTTGAAAGCTCAAATGGGGAAATGTTTGCTGCCCAGATCACTGGATCATGTATTAATCATTGCAAGCACTCTGTTCATTGTAGGCTGTAGGTTCAAAGACTGCACTTTCATGCTAGTTTGTCAGAGGCCTTTTCCAACATGGCAACTTGTTTCACCAGAGTAGGCAAGACAGAAGGCAATTCAGAGAGCCTCCAAGGAAGGCAGAGACCAAAGTGCTTTACAAACTGATCAGAATGTCATATCCTGTCATTTGTATTGCATTCTATGAATTAAAAGTGAGTCAGAGGCAAGGAAAAATGGTGGATATTGTCATCTGTAAAGATGAATGTGGGAAGTAGTGACTTGGCTCCACATCCATGTGGAGACATCATGAAGAGACTCCCCGAGGGTGTCCATCTGGGAGATGCTGGGGATCACAGCTCAGGCCAAAGAACTCTATTACTAGCTAACCAGTCCTACAGACATGCCAGAGGATAAGAGAAAGCATAGACTTACCTTGGTTTATCAAATAAAATATACAGAGGCAACAGAAACCTCGTAAGTTCTTATAGACACACTAATTACCGCAGGTTTAAGCTAATAGATGCCTGAAAATGCTTGAGGAGAACAGGGAAGATGAGACGGAGGCAGAGAATAATGAAAGTGATGAGGACAGCATCAAATTTAACCAAGTATATTAGTTAGTTTTTTGTTTCTGTGATAAAATGCCATGACCAAAAGCAACTTACAGAAGGGTTTATTTGGGCTGGTGGTTCTAGAGGGTAAGAGTCCATCATGATGAGGAAGGCATGGCAGTAAGCAGCAGGCATGCCATAAGGAACAGCATGCTAAGAGATTACATCTTCAACAGCAAACACAAAGCAGAGAGAGAAAATCAGGAGAACAAGGCTCTGAACTCTCAGAGCCCAACCCCAGTGACTTATTTCCTCCAGCAGGGCCATGCCTCTTAAACCTCCCAAGTACCACCAGCAGCTGAGGACCAAGTGTCCAAATACATGAGCCTATGGGGAGGGAATATAGCTCATTCAAACCACCACATCAAGTATGCTTTAAAAACTGTCCTGGTGTGGTAGCCAAGCCAGGGTCAAATAGCTCTGGAGTATTCTTTCTGTTTATTCCCTACAACAACAACAACAGCACAAAAGTGACCACCATCCTGAACCCCAATACCATAGCTTTACCTGTGCTTGAAATTTATGTAATGAAATCATACAGTATTGTTCTCATGTTGATGGGCATTTGGGCAGTTTCTACCATGGGAATGACAGAGATAGTATTGAAATGAACATTCCTGACAATGCCTTTGTAGAACAGATACAGATTTCTTTCTTACATTCTTGGTAATGGAATTGGAGGCATTACAATGTGCAGTGTCTATAATCAATACTGCTAAAGAATTTTCCAAATTTTATTGACTAAAGTTAGAATCTTATTATCAGTACACAACAGTTTCTGTTGGACTGTGTCCTTGCCAATGCTTGGAATTCTCCCATCTTTTTCATTTTAGCTCTTCTAATGGCTATGTAGAAGTATCTAATGATAATTTAGCTTTCCCTGATGACAAAAGACATTTGAGCATATTTTCATATGCTTAAATGCCATTCAAATATATTTTTGTGAAATGTTCAAGTTCTTTGTACGTTTTTCCACTAGGTCTTTATCTTCTTTGATCTATAACAGTTTGAGGCTATTGTTCTCTTATGCGCGCACATGCACGCGCGCACACACACACACACACACACACACACACTGTGTTGACAGTATGCATTGCAAGCACCCCCCAATCTATTGCAAATATCATCTCTCATATTCTAGCTGTCTTTTGATAAACAGAAGCCCTTAATTTTTAGAGAGTATAATTTGTTTTTCTCTTTTATTGTCAGTACTTTTGTGTTCTTTTAAAGAAATATCTGCCAAACCTCCTTCTCTTTCACTTTGATAATTAGGGAAATTTTATGAGCAAGACCTGTCTATAAAATGCATAATAAACAGCTCACCCCACCTTCTTCCTTTCTCTCCTAATGTGACCATTATTTCTCCTAATCCCAAACACTCCTGCCCCCTAATTGCCCTCCTGGGTTCTCCTTACCTCCTGAACATGTGTCTGCACATGGATGCAACACTCTTGAAGTCTTAGGTGAAAGTGCAAGGAATCAAACATCTAATGAGGTGCAGTCGGTCTTTATAGGAGCAGCTGTGCTATGCTCAAGTTCTCATCTTTTAACCATTCCATGGAGAGGTGAACAGTAATGGGAGCTTGTAGGCTTTGCTGAACCCGAGTGCACAGCATTCCACTTCAATCCCGACTCCTTTGAAGGCACAAAGCAGTTCCTACATACTTGAAAAATGAGACAGCTCCATGGACTTTCCTTAGCTTTCTGAGGCCCCTCCACCACTGTTTCCCTTCCTTTCCCCTTGTTTGTCCCTTCACCCTCTAAACATTTCTTGACTTCAGACTGTACAGTTGAACGTCTATTCTATGCAGATGTTTGAGATTACTTGCAACAGTGAACTTCTAAACTGAGTACTGCACACCCTTTGTGAGCTTTGCTGTCTCCTCACTGTCCCCACCCTGCAGGGGGTTCCCACACACTGCCCAGGGGCACCAACTAGCCACTGGCCACACAGAGGAGAGTGAGGTCTTCCCATTCCAGCTCAAGCTTCTTTAGCCATGATTGGGTCTGGCATCCGGGAAGCACTGTGTCTTTAAAGGATCCTTATGTACATCTGTTTCCAATTTGCAGGCCATGATCATGGTGAGGATTTGGGTGCAAGTAGTTTATGTGGGAAGCAATCCCAGGAAATACTGTGAGGGGCCATCTGCAGGGGGAGAAGTGGAGAAAGGTGCATTGATGGGTTGGTAACTGCCACAGGCAGTAGGACTATCCCATGAGGAACCCCCGCTCCCAGCAACATGTAAACATGCCTCTGAATCCCCTCTCCCATCAGGATGGGATCAGACAGCTCCCATCTCTTATATTTGATGGTCCTGTCTGCATGCAAGTCCTTTGGGGAAGGAGAGTGGCCGTGCCTCCCTCAGTAATTTTGATAATTCATCTCATTCTGAGCACTTTGTCAATGTCCAAATGTCTTATTAATACAGTTGGGTGTCTGCCTTTTTAAATGCCCATTCCTGTTTTAGTAGAATTGCTTTAATTATTTATTTGCATATGTTCCAAGTTTTTCTAGGTAAAATACTGTAATAATTTATGCCCAACTCAGCAAAGCTATAAGCCAGACAGGGAGAATGGAAACCTGCCTCTGCACTTTGGCCTCTCATTTCTGGGCCCCCTGATGGCTGCTCATACCCTCACCCCACCCACAACCCAACACATCAATTCAGGGCCTTGGCCACAGAGCTGCCTCCAGCTAAGTTTGGCTACGGCTGTTCCTGTGTGTTCTGTCAGCTTGTGGGTATCAGCTTTGTTCTTTGAACTAAATGGAAGAGATCTGTTTACTTACTGCTTGGTCCTGGGAGGCAGGAGCTGTCACCCTGACACCTCCACTGAGTTCCTAGAGTCCAGAACTACTGAATTCAGTTCCATGAGACAAGCTTTCCTAGGAGTAAATGCAAGAATTCCACTGAGCTAAACGAGCCCATTGAAATGATGCCTTGATGTTTTAGATGTCCAAATGCATAATCTTCCTTCTCCCCACACATTTCAAACCCCAAATCTGACTGTGGTTGCTCCACAGCTCTGACCCCAGTTGTGACCTTTATCTGTAAGTGTTCTTGGCAGTCATGGTTCCTTCCTTTGTCCTGCAGCATCTGATGTGTGCTGGGCTGTGGTGCCTGGTAGAAGGAGATACATCCTGCAAGACCAAGCTGGACCCTCCCCTGGATGGCACTGAGTGTGGGGCAGACAAGGTAACACCAGCTTCTACCACCCCCAGCAGGCAGCCCCACATCTCCTGGGCACTGAGCACTTCTCCTTCTGGAAGGCAGCTCAGGAGCCCCCGAAACACTGCTGAGCACCATAGTAATGTCCAGGGAGCATGCTGCAGGCCCACATGTTGTCTATGTATCACCTCTCGTTTTCTTACAAATCCACAAGAATCAATCTTATTTCCTTGATATTTTTGTTACATGAACCCCTTTTGTCACATGAGTGAAATAAAGGGAAAATTTTCACTGAGTATATGTGTAATAGAAAAGCAGTTTCATTTGCCATGCACTGATAAGAATCATGTCCAGTTTTAGACAGATTTTAGAAACCAAGCTGACCATTATGAAGAAGCGAGACTGTAAGGGTTACAGAGAAGTGGGCTGTACCAGCAGCCACACAGCTTTCTCCTAAGCCTTGATTGGCGTTTTTGTTTGTTGGTTCCTTTTCCTCCTCCTCCTCCTC